TCGTGATTGGACGGCGGCGGACCGTAGTGTGCGGCCGCCGGATACCTTACACCGGCAACTTCCCCACAGGGTCACCGCTGCCGCCCGTCACCACTCTGCCTCCCCGAGGCCAGGCCTCGGTGGCCTTGTGGGAAATCCGGGCCTGTCTGCTGCCCCATCTGCGGCCCGGGACTGACTCGGGAGGGTGTCAGGAGGTAAGATGGGAGGGTGATCAAAATCTTCCTCCTTGCTGATCTCCCTCCGTACTGTGAATGCGGAAGTAATGTGTATTACATCACTTCCGCATTCACCTGTCAGTCATCTGGCTGCTATAGCCAGAGAGAAGAAGCTGGTGAAGCAGATCTGTGCTTCATCAGTTTCCTTGGGGGTCCCCAGGTGACATTAGCGGTCTTAGAGACCCCTAATGTCTCAAAAAAAGGACCTGTCAGTGTACCTGTGCTATTATATAGGGGGATTATTATCCCACTATGTGATAGCAATAACATTAAGCGTAAAAAAATAAATACAAAATAATAAAAGTCACATATAAAAAAAACCCCCAAAATTCTTAAGTTCCCCACCCCCACATTTACGCACAACGTGGGAAAACGACAATTGCGCACTCATGTTACATATCGCCGCAAACGTCGCAGTGAGAGCAATCACTGATAACACTAAATTGATGAGCGGTAAAAGCTTTTAAAGCGTCGTCTATGGTCAATTTTGGGTATTGTAGTTTTTTGAGGTTTCGCGGGCGCGTGAAATTTTAAGGCTTTACATGTTTGGTGTCTTTTTACCCGACGTGACTCCGTCACATTATTGGGTAATAATAAATGTTTTATAATTTAATATAGGGGAAAGGTTTATTTTTTTTTTAAATTGGTAATTTTTCCTTATTATAGTAAAAAATAAAAACCGCAGTGGTGATTAAATACCACCATAAGAAAGCTCTATCTGTCCCCAAAAAATGGTATAAAATTCATTTCAGTACAGCGCTGCATGACGGAATAAATGTCAGTCAAAGTACCGCAGCGCTGAATACTGAAAAATGACCTGGACAGGAAGGGGGTGTAACACCGCGGTCATCAAGTGGTTAAAACACTTAAACAATGCCTGTGATAGCGCTGTCCTCTCAGACAGGAATATGACAGGAGTCACTATACAATAGCGCTCTTCACAGAGGCAAGGACACGTTAAGTTCGTATTTAGAGAGTAGAGATAAGCTTAGCAAATTTTAAGATCGTCCTTTAATAAAAGAAACGGTGCAGAAAATATACAGAAAAAGACATTAATAAAAAGAGACACAATATATATACAACAGCAAAATAAAAGGGAATAAAGGTGAATACTCAACAGTCCTGGAATTAGGAGTTCTGACAGAGATCAGAGTTGTATTAGCAAAAGAGAAGTCTGAAGGGCTCTTCTTGAAGCCAGCTTTCATCCGATAATGTCCAGAGATTAAAGGGGAACTCTTCTGCGATGTTAAGACTTCTTGATGTTATTGGAGTTCCTTTCTTGATGTTTTCCAAAACAAAAGCCTTTTCAGCATCTCTTTGTTACCCCTCTCTAGGGGGTGTCAAGGAGCCGGCCCCTACGGCAGGGCTGGGGATGGAAAGCAGGAGGAGGATGAACCTTTATTTTACACTATTGCCGCCCAATTCCAAATTATGAAATGGAGCTGATATTGTAACTCAGGACTTTCTGGTGAATGCGGGGTCACCTGGGTCACCTCCTCTACCAGACCTGCTTGTGTTTATATACTTGTCCACTGGTAATAGATGAATGCCTGGTGACATGCCTCTAATTAGGGACAGCTATAAAAGGCTTAGAGGGTTATTTAGGACTCTCACTAGGGCTGAGGCAATAAAGATCACAGGCCAGATAAGCAGATCTCTGTTCTGTGGAATGTGGAGGGACCTGGCAAATGACTAAATGGCGGCCTGTATTTGCTCTGAACTGGGGGACAAGAGAATGCTGTTTTAAATATTAAGACTCACACCCCATTATTGTCACACCACTAAGGTTGTTCATTTACAATTATCATTAATTACTTTCTTTGTCTACTCAATACAGATCGCGCTCCCAACGATGCAGCCCTGAATGCTACCACAGAACTTATCGCTTTTGGGGTGGACAACATCTTAATCAGCAGCAACTATATCCTGTGGGGACACCGAGATGTGTCGAACACAGCCTGTCCCGGAGATAGCCTCTACGACGTCATTAAAGGATGGCCGCGCTTTAGAGCTTGAGGTGGATCAACGCGTTTGTTGAACCCTTATCCAAAGATCTTCAAAATATTATCCAATGCCAAGCTTCGGAGAATGGAGAGTGAGCCAAGACTTCCTCGCTCCCTCTCACCTATCCCTACCTCCTGTGCAGAAGATGTTAGATGAAGTCAGTGAATGATCTCCTCAATCACTAAGGGGGGTGAAAACCTTCATAATTCTTCTCTGGGGGAGGAGAGGAAAATAAAGTTGAAATAAGGCCACTGTCATTGTTCTGTTTGTTTCCAAGCGCTGAAGTCTATATGCTTTTTACTGCACGCAAATAAAAAAAACATAAAAATATATCGCAAACCATCTTTGTTTTTTCATTATATTCATTTCCACATTATATTCAAAACTTAAAAATGCAATTTCCTTATAAAAAAATAATTCTTACGATATTATTTATTCTTTTTTAGAGCTTTATCAACAAAACTACCGTGTTATGTCTTTTTATCTGATATATAAACATTAATGTGATCGGGGAATGAAGGTTTACCCTACCAGGGGACAGAATTATACATATAGTGGAATCTGCCAATAATCTGATATTGATTATCGGTGGAACTGTTTATGGACAACGCTCATTAAAGGAACCCCAACATTCAACTTATCTTGTTTGGTCTCTTTTGGTCTGTCAAATAGATCAGTGACAGTGTTTTGTTATATCTCTTCAAAAATTGAAACGAAATACCTGTTAATCCTGACGAAAATCTTGTTGATAACTTCCTGTGCTCTCTGCCTGTGGTACATTCTTATTATATAGAGGACAGGAGAGGGGAAGACGTTTGTAGTCCTGTCCTAGGGTAGCATCTATGCTTCCTCAACTACAGAACCCCAAACTATGTTATAAAGCTAAAAAAAAGAAGGATATGTTCGTGTGGTCCGAATTAGAAACTTGGAACAAGACAGATAGGGGGGGAGGGGGACATACGATAAAGATCCAGCCCTGTTTATAAATAATACCATATATGCTGCTTTGGAAGACAAGCCAACTATTCTAATTCTAGCAGATGTAACACATCTAGGAAACATTGTGCAACCAGAGGTAATTTGGAGACAGGGCAACAGTTCAGGTCCTTTTTTAAACATGAGAATGTGCCATTGACAATCAGTAGTACAATATGCGGGGGGCTACTCAGTGCCTCTGCACCTCCCTAGCAGATCCATGCATGGTGGAGACACTTCGTAGCCACAAGAGCTGGTTGGCCAGGGGTGTCCCTAGCCTTTTCACCACCTGAGGTGGGTCGGGGGGGAATGGGGTGTTATCAAGCACCACAAGCATTATTTCCCCCAAATCCACCTCAGGCAGTGAAGCAGGGGTCTTCTCCCTTTCACATCTCCCCACCCAGCTCTGGCCGGTATCCAGCCCAGCTCGTGGCAACCAGTGACGACACTCTTAGGAGCCAGAGCATCTCAGGTTGCTAAGAGCTGAGCGGGGAGATGTGTATGGCGCTTACACATCTTCCCGCCGAGCTCTTAGCAACCTTGGGCACTCTGGCCGGAAAGGGGGCTGCAGGCACACTGGCTTTTAGGGCCCTAACTTTTTGGAATTCCAGGCATGGATGCCAACCCTACTGCACAGATGGCTCAGGGCCTCTACCCGTGTCACCTTCCTGTAGATGAATAGGATACAATCTCGGCATATGTGGCATGTGTACTCTTCACACTTGAATTGTTTCCTGAATGGCACAGCAGTTACAAGACTCCAGTTAATCGAGTTCACAGACTGATTTTACATTTTGCCTGGAGTTGCTATTTGGATCCACCATGTAACAGTTTCAACCTTATCTAAATGTATTTTTTGTGTAGTAATATTATTGGGTATCTAATGGTGACAATAATAACAAACCAGCCTGGAAACATATGACACTGCGGTGTGCTAAGCAATGCAGAACTGAAATCACATTCCAGATATCAATAGAGATGTGATAAAATAAGCCAAAAATAACACTTTGTAGCTAATGGGTGACCGTGATGTCTTCTATCATATTAGTCACTATGGAACCTCCGCGTGTCTCTAAGGTGATGTCATTTCTTAAGAAGAAGACTATTAGAAGAGACGTTAAGGGGGTTATTCACGAAGGATCCAGCAGTAGCTTCGGTTGATCCTTCGGCTCTCTTTGGCTGCCGGAGCCCTTCGGTTCAGTAGAACTGAAGGGCTGCTGTTAGGCTATTAGCAATATTCATAATAGCCCGTACAGCAGCTGAAGGCGGCCGATCGGCTCAGCCGAAGGCATATGCTTTGGCTCGGCTGTGACAGCCGAAGCGGGGCGAACAGCCTGCCCAAAGCCGCCCCTTCGCCCCGTAAATGACAGCTGGGCGGAGCCAGACATGATGTCACCGCTGGTTCCGCCCAGTTATAATGACAGATCAGCGTCCCCAAATGACCTGGGGAGGCTGATCTGTCATTAAACAATAACAACTGGGCGGAGCCGCTCCGCCCAGTTGTTATTCATTGGCCGGGACTTGCTAGAAGACTCTGGCAGGTGCCGCTCATTAGGAAACAGTTTGGCGGAGCTAGCTCCACCCAATTGTTTCTTTTTTTCATTTTTTTTCTTTTAACTCCTTCATGACTGAGCTAGTTTTCAGGTTCTGTTCATAAATGACTGACACACTTTTTACATTTTTGCTGTGTGATTCTTCCACAGCAGTAATATACTTTCTTACTAAATGTACCCACACATATTATATATTGTTTTTTAGAGGATCAAACGTGTACCTAACGCCTCACTTAGTTCAAATAAAATGAAAAACGTAAAGAAAACATTTTTTTTCACAAGTTTTGATTATTAATTTTTTTTAGAAATGTTTTTATAATAATTATAGTATAAAAAGATATATTTAGATATCATTTTTATTTTCCTAATTTTTTTTTTTACTTTGTAAAAAAAAACAAAAAACTTTTTTGTCAGTTTATATCAAGCAGTCACTATGACTGCTTGATAAATTAACTATTTTTACATTTTTGGTTATTATTAGGCTGCTCCAAACTTAGGAACAGCTAATAATAACCTTAGAGACTGATCGTCAGAATCAGATCTCACCAACCACGGGTTCTCAACCTCTCTACGACCGGGACCCCTTGGTAACATTTGCCAAGTTGTGGTGACCCCCAACAGTAAAATTTAGGGATGACGGGGCTGCTGGAGCGACATCTGGCGGCGTGGCGGGAGAAATGACACTGCTGTGCTAGGAGAGGGCTGAGGAGGACTCTCACCTAGCACAGCAGAAATCACACAGCGAGACTGACAGCTGGCTCTGCCTATCTAAAGGCAGAGCCAGCTGTACCC